CCCTTGCCTGAGAATTTCAAAAACATGTTTATGAGTCCATCTGTCCTACAGTAAATGCAGGGTCTGATTCAGCAAAGCACCGAGCTTTTGCCTAACACGCTTCGCTATAGAGAGAAGGACTTCTGGGTATGCTTAACTTTTAGCATATGTTTATGCGCTCTGAATTGAAGAGCTGAGGAGTTTTTACATGGGACCAATCTGCCCAGTTCACCTCTCATTAAACTGAATTACACTGAAATTTTCACTGTTATCTCCCAGTGCCACACTTCACCTTCTCTGCACAGGAACACATTGAAGGCAGACACTGGAGACCACAGTTGCACCGAATAAAAGGAAATCAAGTGCTAATAGCACAGATGGTGGAGATATACAAAATCAAAACAATTGCAAGAGTACTCAAATGCTTATGGCTTCACCTACACTGGAATTTGTAGCAAACTCTACAATGGCTACTTAAAATTTAATCATAATCACAAAAATGGAAATAATAAATTGCAATTTATTAGGAAACAGCAGTACCCAAAGAGGGAAAAAGGAATATGTTAGCTTGACTATTAAATTCGGCTAGTGAGCCAACTACAAGGGAAAAAAATCCGCGCCATTTCTAGCTGAAAGTGAATTAGAAATAAGGGTTATAAATCCTCCATTAAGGTATATGATTTACATACCACTGAATGATTCTATGCTATTAGTCACCTCAACCAATCAGATATTTGCAGATATTTATGCTTGATTTATTCCTTCCTTTCATCTCAAATATTGATACCTCAGGCATGGTAAAAACTGCAAGGAAGACCAAAAGCATTCCCCCTTGGGACATAACCAGGAGTATCATGAATGACGACATACCAAAAAAAAGTAGGCTCTGCTTAAAGCAAGCAAACAGATAACGAGGGATACTACCACAACAGCATCTACACAACAGAATCAGCTGAGGTTGGAAAGCAAGCCAGGCCATCACACAAAGCTGAACTCCATCACACCGATGGCTAAAGCCAGTCTAAGCAAACACATGAAGGGGCACAGTAACATTTCCATTTTCAGCCATGTGGGTTCCATGGGTGTTCCCATACACGAGGGCCTACCAGCCTGTTTCTTGCTCTCTGTTAACTGGCAATCAATCTGCTGCAAACCCAGCATGACCTCAAGTTTAACTGCCTATATTATGGCAGTGTCAGAGTCTCAGCACAGGCCATTCCTGCCCAATAGTATTTATGATCAATGGGCAAGGTAAAAAGACAGCTGACAGGAGTGAAAAAGCAGACAAACCTGGGTCAGTATGACAAGTGGTGGTCCAGCTGGGCTGTCTGCCTAGCTTTTGGGGAGGGGTTTTGCAAGAAAAGAGATGAAGAAAATTTTTGAAAGAATAGTAGAGATATCTTTCATGAAAACAATGACCAAGTGCAAGACTGGGGGGATGGAGAGAAAGGAGAAAGAGCATAAGTGCTTCCTAGTCTCCATATCAAGTCTGAAACCAAGCACTCTTGCTCTTGAAAAATCATGTCACTTCAGCTTTCTTCAAAAGACGCAGATTCTAAAGCCAAAGGCAAGCACCTCTTGCAGTCCAGTGAACCCTATTTTGTATTACACAGTAACTGTTTCCTCAGATCTCTACAAAACATCATGAACCTTAGAAAAACCTTAGAAACCTTACGAAAAGCTTTCCATAGATCATATTGTTCAGGGTATCTGCTGGAAGAAAAGTACCCAACATCCCTTTACAGATTACACGCAGTAGCTCATCCTGCAGATGCGCAAGCCACATACCCACAGGACCTACACTGACCATGCTCCACTTAGCCAGGGCAAATGTGTTAGGTCTTGGTTCAACTAACAGGTTCTACAACACCCACACACAGCACAGTTTGAGTATCTATTCCAGGGAAAACGTGGAGATCTTAACAGATTTGAGTGCTCAACACTGAGCATTCATTTTCTGGAAGTTTTCAAGATTAGCAACGTCAGTAGAAAGAAGAAAATGTGCATCCTTATTATAAAGAAAAAGATTGTATCGGGCAAGGTTACGTTCAGTCCAAAAGGATATCGCTGAATCAGTTTACATATCAAGTGCAATTAAAAAGCAGATTAACGTTTTAAAATCAGCCTATTCTAAGCATTGAGGAAAACCATACAAACTCCTCAGTGCCACAAACAGCGGAGTAGATAACCCTCCAAGTATTTCCTTGGTACACTTGCAATTTACTTTAAAAAAAAAAAAAAAAAAAAGGGATTTCGCAGAAGATTTAGTTACATCTGAGCATTTACGATGGGCTTTTTGCAACTGCATTCAAGATTGATCCATCGCTGCTTCCAATTCCCTTCCCAGCCCAAGTCATGGGAAACAGTGAGCTAACAGAGTAACAATGTGCATATTCCCACACTCCAACAGGCCAAGGGCCAGACAACGCTGATGCAAATTGTGATACAAAATGAACACCTAACTGCCTTGCCTTCAGTTGATTAAATAAAAAGGAGAGGGATTAATTCCATCCTGGGGCCCAACTTTGCAGTATGCAGCTACAGGCAAGACTGGGAGGTAGAGGGGGAAGTTCCCAGGAGCTTGGCCAGAGTGAGCCAACTGCTTATGCAGTTAGTGAAAGACAGTATTCCTTCTTTCTGAATACCTATTGAAACTCTGGGGCCACTGAACACTTAAAAATGCGATCCTAAGACATAGAACAAGGCTGTAAGTGCAACCATCAGAAACAAATGCATTAGATGCGCCCACTGTGTCAAAAGGCAATCTCCTGAGAACCTAATCAAGGAAGCAGGAAAATTGGATTTCAGATGAATGTAAGTGTCAAATATTAATGATTGTCATGTGACCTATTGTTTGTCACTGTTCTTGCTCAGAACAACTTCATCATTTAATTCAAATGCCATTTATTAGCCTGAGCAGTACCCACAGAAACCAAAGCTTGGCAGTATCTACAGTCCATCAAAAACCTTGTTTTTCCACTGACCCTAACGACACTGCAGTCCTACATGCTATTCAGCGTGTAGGTCTCCACTTGCAGGGGTTCTAGTTGAGCACAGATCTCTGACCTGAAACCATCAGTCTTTCATGGATTGTTGGATATATGCTTCGGGCCAAGTCTGGTGAATGGAAAACATATTTTCCCTACCCCAGCACCAGGGAGGCAAAACAAATTAAGAATTAATTTGAAAACAGTTCACCTCAAGCACATCAGAACCAAGAGAAGTAGTTATTCACTGCACCTTTACTCTTGGGCCAGGACATTTAATCTGTTTAAGTACAGACCATCCTTATAGTCCAGAACTGAAGTGCCTTTGCTGGCAAAGCGTATAGAGCATATCCACTTGAAGAAACTCTTAAGGCACAAGTCTTCCAGAAGGAGGGAGAAAAAGAAACATCTTTATAGGTAAATCACTGCAACGAAAATACAAAGGGAAGGAGTGAGCATTATTTAACCTGAGGTGAAGGTGGCAAGTCACAGCACTAGCAGCAAGATGCTGCTGCTGCTCTGTCTGGACAGAGTCTCCTGGGCTTAGGCAGGCATCACCACACTAACTGGAGGTTTTATTTTTTTTTTTAAATCATCATATCAGGGACTTATGACATTATTTCATAGCAAAAATGCCAGTAGGGTCAAGACATTATCATTCCTGACCAGAAAGGAATTTCTGCAGGGAGAATGGTCAACTCAGAAAAGCCAGTTACCATGACCTTAATTTAAATCAGGAAGAGCAGAGGTGAGACCTTAAGTATCCATATCCCAGTTAAATGCTCTAATCACTAGGTTCTTGACTGCTCAAAGAAGGATTTTGACTTTCACAGAAGCTGGGAAGGTGGTGCCAACTTCAAGCTATTCTGAGCTGTCACCACCAGAATTATGAAACACAACAGGTAGCCCACCACAACATCCTATGCGACAGCAGCTGCATTTACACATTGAAATGTTCAGGAAACATTCACGGAGAGAGGTATTTTTGGTTGGAAAAAGCTGTTTCACATCATGCACTAATTCATTTATGGCAGCAGTAGTTATGTGAAAATATATTAACAGAATAAAGCTCATGCAATTCTTTGTAAAAAGCTCAGTAGTCTTCCTAGGCACTAATGAAACTTGACAGCTTTTCCAGAACAAAACTTTCCGAAATTAAGCTTTCTGTAATGTAACAAAAAAGTTTTTGCATGCCTGTCCACAAACTGCACTTTTTGAGGAATTTCAGGCTGCTGGCAAACACTTAGATTGGGCATTGGGCACACAAAACTCTAGGATTTCCTCTCCTGTCTGCCTTCCCTTGTCTAAGTGAAGAAAGGACAAGAATAAATTAGAAAATTGGGCTAAATATACGACTTTCAGCTTTCACCAAAGGCTAATATCCAATTGCCATATCTAGCTCTTTTTGCTTTAGACCTCTAGTTTAATCAAACATGACAGTAAAAGGAAACTGGATAGGAAGCTGTGACCACAGAAGGGCAATTTTAAAAATTATTTTTATTTTTTAAAATAGAAATGGAGAAAAAAATCAGTAACTTCTTTTAGGGATAAAGAGCTTCTTTTTGAATCCCAGATGATCTTACTACTCATATATCACTGACTTTTATTAGTTCTGCAATATCAATTGATGGGACAGAAGGGGAAAGCGGCATTCAGGGGTCCTATTTCAAGTTCTGCCACTGATGCGCTTTTATGATTTTAAATAATTTATTGAATTTCTTTCTGTATCTTAAGTTTCTTCTTCTACAAGATGGATAGATACCAGTATTGCCTACATTACAAAGGTGCCAGGAAAATACATTCATTTTTAAGGTGCTCTGAGGACTTGGGAGAAATAACTATGAACTCCAGAAGGATCATTCACTCTGAATGACAATATCTTAAGATCTTTACAATGGTAAATGATGAATTTTGAAGCATTATCAGTTTTGTTAACATTTGGAATGTAACAAATCAGTGATTTATTTTTTTTTCCCTTGCTTGCTAAGTGAGCAAGAAGCTTCTTCACTTACACGACAGTTCTTGTTTTAACAGGAAAACCGCGTTAGATCGCTACAGCCTTGAGAAGGCAGGCTTCACCCACATCCTCAATGCGGCCCACGGTCAGCGGAATGTGGACACAGGACCAGAGTATTATCACGACATGAACGTGGAGTACCATGGAGTGGAAGCAGATGATCTCCCCACTTTCAAGCTCAGCCAGTTCTTTTATTCAGCTTCTAAATTCATTGATAATGCGCTTCAGGATGAAAGAAGTAAGGACGGTGCTGAAAATGGTTGAAAACAGTACAGTTACTTCATCCGATTATCAGCATAGTTCCATGTCATTCAACCTTGTGGGAATTAAACAATACAGTTTCATGAATACAGTTTAACAGCGAATTAAAACTAGTAGCAGAGAACTAGTTTAAGAGACAGTAGTGATGTAACTAGGACTTTTCTCACTGCAGAGCTCGTACCAGCCCAAGAGTCCCTTACCAAGCACTTCGATATAAGTCCACATCGCAGCTTGCATTAAGGTCTCCTGTCTGATAAGAGGGTTTTTGTTGTTGTGTTGACTCCTTCATAAACACATCAGAGACAAACAGACATTACATAGGTTCCATGAATTAGCTGCCTTTTCCTCAAATTAGTCCCTATTAAGAAAGGTTTAATGAATATTGGTTGCAGAGCGGTGGGAGTGGAACACAAGTGCTCTGCAGAGATTCCAGGCTGTCACTCCACAGCTTCATGCTCTGCAGCATTAGATTCACTCTACAAATATAAAAACCACCTTCCCACCTGGCCATCAGATCTAACCCAAGCTATAACAGATTTATTGCTCGGCCATCTTCCAAGCAGCAGGGGACCAAAATAACTCTGACAGCAGAGATCTAGAAACATTACATTAAAACCTTTATAATTTCTCAGCTTGATTACTACAAGTCATTATTTGCTGACCTCCAGCAGCGTTCTATCAGAATGCTTTACACTGATGTGAAGTGCTACAGACTAGGCACACTGCCTTTCAGTATTACTCCTACTCCTTACCCCAACAACAGGCTTTTTTTTTTTTTTAAAAAAAAAAAAAACTTGACAGGATATTTTACCAGAAACTACCTGAGAAATTTAAGACTTTCAAAACTACAAAGATCTTAATATCAGAGGATCACATATCAATTTTCTAGCCTCCTGTCAGCTTCTGTTCTTGGCTGCTTAGCTCAGCTGTAGACACAGCTACTACCTGGCTTGCCCCCAGTAGCCGGCCAGGTCTTAAATTTTACCCTTTCAGCAAGTACAGTCTACAGCAACAGTCCCTTCCCTTGTTCAGGAGAAAGTCTTGAAAGGAGTTCAGTTTTAAAAAATCAAAGTCCTAATAGCAGGCGAAACTGCTTCAGGAGCTTACTTGCTTGTGAAGAAAGGTACCTGGCATTTCAAAAAGTAAGTCTGAAGCACTGCCTTTAGGAAGGAGCGGATAACTACCACGCACCTGTGTCTAGCCACGGCTGGAGGCCAGAGGTCAGTATCAGACTGGAGTAGCTGAAATAAGAAATGCAGACTTCCTCACTTCCATCACTCTCCTGTTCCTCTAACACCTTTGTCTGCTGCACAGAGGTAAAGAAACAAGCACAAGGGAAGCAGCAAAGCCTAGATAAAAAACTTGCATCCCAATAAATATTGAGGCAGGGAAGTAGGGTGGGGAGGGTAGTGTCAACCTTTTTGTTTCAAAACCACATCAAAGTCCAGTAAGTTCTGAGACAGTATCAAGCACCAGTTCACCACTGAAACAGAAGACCAAATCAAAGAGTGACTGGATGAACTTCTACAAAACAAACCAAAAAAATAATCTGGACTTAAGTAGGTACTACCAACTGCAATCATTTCTGTAGCTGTGCACTGCCTGCCACATTCACATGGTTTTAAAATAACATAGCTAGGGTCTTTTCTGATGGAGACCAATAAAATAAAGAATTACTGTAACACTCATGAAGAAAAAGACCAAGCTCTTAGCTTTCTCCTAAGGGAAAAGTACACTGAATGACCATCTCCTATCCCAGCCAAAGATATGCATAAAGGCTCATATGCATGGCCCAGGAAGAGACTTAAATGCATGTTAAATGCATGACAATAGCTTTCCAATACACATTTACAAAACAACAGAATGACTCCAGAAGCTAAACTAAAGAGTAGACTGATTCCTCTTATCTTACAGGAGAAAAGACCAAAGGCAAGTAACTAGTGCTGTTCTCCAACAACATAAATGAATTATTTGTGAATGCACACCTATTGCAGACAGGTGCTATGTATTTCAAGTGCCTAATGAAACAATTATTTGTGTGCATCTTCCTAACTGACAAATAGCATCCAGATTCCTAAACAGGATTTTATAGCAAGTAACCAAGTACCTATCTCCAGTGGTAATACAGCATGAAATTGGACTTCAGTATATGGTGCTAAATATTTCTGATCAGTAACACCACTACACTCATTTGCTACTTTGCATTAGAATTGAGCAAATGCAAAGAGAGGGAAAGGGGGAAAACAAAAAAAAACTTTTTACTTTTGCGACCAGAATGTACATATTTGCTACGGCTGTATCACATTGTTTGGGATGTGACCTTCAGCCAGCCAAGTGATCAAATTCATTGACTAGATGTCTTCATATAATGCATTTTGCTGGGAAGCTGCTCAATAGTCAATGTTGTTGAAACAAGCTGTCAAGGCAAATGAAGAAGCCTCTCTCTTTCTGCAACAGGCCAGAAAGCTTGGCGATTTGGATGTTGACAAAACACAATCCTAATGCAGTAATTTTGACTTCAACATTCAAAATCTTTGTGATGGTGAAGAAGCTCCCTGATCAGAGCAGAATTTGCAGACTTTAAGCACAGGCAGATGGACAGAAGAACAGCGAAAGTAGCTCAGCTATGAGCTTTAGAGGCAAACTCAAGACTGTTCACAACTATGCATGCTATCATACAGCTGTGCATAAAGATTTCCCAAAACATGCAATTCAGACCATAGGGCAGCTTAAAATTTATACCAGCGAGGCTTGATTAACCTGAAAGGAACACATTTTTTTAAAGAGGTTTTTAAGTTCCCTTCTATGCTACAGATTTAGTACTCATTCCCTTGGTGTCTTAATTCCACTGAATGTAGAGGGGAACAGCATTTTTATCTCATGTGAAGATGCCATGCGGAAAAAAAGAATACACTAAGGACTGAGAGAATAAAAGCAATGTGAGAAGAAACATGAGACAGATACAAAGATCCAAGGCATTTGACCAAAAACACCCTAACATTCATCACTCCATCTCACTCTGGAAAGGGAGTGCTGCATCTAGACAGATCTTCAAGAAACACAAGCCCAAGTCAAGTGACCAAAATAGTCACAAGGGACATGGCACCACTCAGCCAACCTCTGGCTCTGTGCACTTGTATTTTATATTCAGCCACGCCTTGAAGGATGTAAGTGGCCAGAATCAAAGACTGCAAGAGCGGACTCCCTTCTCGAGGAAAGATGGTTCATATCGGTCTTTACAGCAGAAAAGACTACAGAAGAGACTGAAGAGACTACAAAATAGTACAGAAGGGACGTGGTTCTGCATTTTGCTGTAACAGGCAGTTAGATCTTGAATAGTCACACACAGGAAAGGACATACTTCATTTTCCTAAAGCCAGGAGGCATTTCGGAAAATTGTACAGCCATTTTTTGCCTTTGTGAACACAATATAAAACTGTACATTTTCTCCTAGATCCCCTGCATTTGCCTCCCACACAAAGCAAAGCCTTCCTTGTCCTATCACGTATTTTATCACCTCAACAGCAACCCATTTAGAAGGTGGGAAGCTCTAAAGAGAAGCATGAAGGGCTGAACAAATGAGAGTTTTCATCCGTTTCAAATATTTGCAGTAATAATAGAAGGGATTATCATTTTCCAAGAGAGGAAGAGGCACTTTTCGTTATCAGAGAAACTGGAATTTTGCCAAGATGCCTCTAAGACTATCTGCTGGGATTAGGATGCAGACTGTAACCATTAATCCTCTAGTGTTGGCAGCTCTTGATGCATCCATTACACAGCAGTGCTACTTGTGCCAAGACATCCTCTTGTGCCTGGAAGCAAAGGAGTTAATCAGCAGGAGTCACGGCTTTGCACCCAACGCTTCTCACTAGGCATAGCTAACAGAGATAAACTATTATTGGCCCTGATAGGATTTTTTTTTCCTGTGGCAATTCAGCTTAGCAGGGTGTTAGAGAGAGTGCTCCAAATCTACTTCCTTCAGCAGTTCAACCCTTTGTGAGACCCCCTCAAGGGCTTTGAATCATTTTTGGAAATCTTTTGAAGTGTTTCAAAACCTGTCAATCAGACCTGAACCCACTTACTGTTCTCTTCCTCCACCTCCCCCAGACACAGCAAATGGGGAAGGTTCCACTTTGGCTTACATCCTTGATGGTACCTGAAGCCTTTCTGCCTCCAGAAGTCCAAAGTTAAACCACGCAGTGTCACAAACCTAAATCTTGAGGCACATTTATTCAGAGATGAAAACTATTCGCAGAGACTCTGCATTTACAATATACGAGATACGCCACTGCTGCAAGGAAATTATATAAACCAGAGATGGTGGTGGTGAAATGTTACTTTCATTCAACACGATAGGGTAAGGGTGACAAGCCGGAGATTTCTAAAGAAGCTTTTCTACAGTTTAAGAAGTGGTTTCTTTCTATTCCCCTGGTTATATACCTATTAACTGCTATGGCCCTCCTTATCCTCTGTCCCCAAAAATATCACCGAGCCTTAAAAAAGCCTCGTTAGCTATATTTTACAAATGAAGTACTTGGGCACAAAGTAATGCATTCTAGATCTTGTAGGACATTATTGTCAGAAAAACAACAACAGAAAAAATAATCAAATTTGGTTAATTTTTGTGTCTAGCTGGTAGGAGAGAAAGTCACCTCCATGCACTCCATTTATC